ACCGTTACCGTTGGTGTTTGCTTCCTGACGCTGCATCTTTGCAGTCGTTATACCGTCAAGACAACGAATATTGCAGAGAGGCACAATAAACTTGAATCTTTAGGTTGCATTAAGCTCCTGGCCTGTCATTTAAGCCGAATAGGAGAAAGGCCTATGGAGGCGCGGGTTTTTTTTAACTATAGATTTATTCTCCGGCCTCGCGGAGGCGAGTGCCACCATCCGGTTCTATGGTGTAATGGTTAGCACTCTGGACTTTGAATCCAGCGATCCGAGTTCAAATCTCGGTAGAACCTACAGCACGGCTCTCGCTTTTTCCTCGTCCCCGGCTGCGGTGGGGTGTACTTGCGCGCCTATAGAAGAGGTAAATAAAGGCACGGAGTTCTGCACGGTACAGTGATCCCCAACAGGAAAAAACAAACTGCAACGTCCGCTGCACAGCAGGATACAGACCAAAACGGGGGTAAAACTGGAGGAGGTGAACAGCAAAAGTTTTTCTTTCACCCAAACCATGTGGCATGCTACTCCCGATTTTCTTAGCCTGAATGAACAGCTATAAATTTGTCACAAAGAGCAAAGATGACTTTAAAATTTTAAATAGTTCTTACCAGAATTTAATTAAGTCTTTCATTACATTTTACTATTGGTTTGTATCTATCTAAAGTCTTTTCTGAGGGAAAAAAAAAAAAAGTCATTCACACTTAGGAAAATCTTTCAGTAGATAAACGTGCAGAATTTGGCCATTAGTTTTCAGGTGCACCCAACTATTCACTTGGAAGATAGGGACAGAAATGCAGCCTTTCAGAGTATAATCTGAGTACAACACTGCAACAAATTCAGAGTAATCTCAGATTGAACTCTGCACAATTTAAATGGATATTACCTCTGCTTTGCTGACACAAGTCCTCATTATTTATTTCTCATTTCAAGAATAGCTAAGGACATCTTAACATCTTGGCACCCTTCCTCAAAAAGTGTCCTTACTACTCATTTATTTACACAGCAACAAGAACATCTCTGTTCTGTCTCAAGCTCAAGATCAGCTGCTCCTCCTTTTCCTCTGGCCAGGTAACAACTCTTTACTGTCCCTTGAAAAACATGCAGATCACCTTCAGGTCTAGTTATTATTTGGTGGAAGTTCAGGTCCTAACTTCTCAAGGGCATTTATGACAATGTTTGCACAACCTACTAATGAAAAAAATATCCCCCTCTTCTGTGTTGGGGCTAATTTTCATCCTTTCCCCAACTGTGTTTTTAAGTATCAGGCCACACACAAACAAGTATTCTTTTCTGTTTCTTGTGCACCAGTGTTTTAAAATAACTGTATATACTAAACTTCAGCATAACTAGTGAACTCCCATAGATTGGCTTCATCCAGAAACACCTTTCTTCCCAGGCAAGAGAGCTTTAAAGCAACTACATACTTGTCTGACTTGCAACAATATATTATTTTACAGTTCTAGAGAGCAAATTACCATTTCCTCCTGCTATCCAGCAGTATCCTTCCATTTATCGCAGTCTGAAGTGTAGCTGTAATCCAGAATACTCCTAAAATAGCTGATAAGGTATTACTCTAACAGACTAAGTAAGTACTCATGCTAAATTCACCAGACAGGCACATATGTTAAAACAAAGTGTACTTAAAGAGTTAAGCTTTTATATGGAATGAGACAGAATCAGCATATAGTTCAGTATCAAGATTTATTTAGGACATGGTCATGCTCCATTTGAATACAAAGCACCAAAATTTAGGTAACTGAACATTGTCCAAATATAATCCAGTTGAGACTGCTGCATACAGATACATCCATTATTCTAAGCGATGGTATAGCCCACGTCTGTCCATGTTCATTAACTGTAGTGGACAAACACAAGGTGCAGTGGCTGAGGCAAACTTACTGGAGAAGGCATAGCAAAGTACTTCACAATATGTATCCCTTGTTGTAGCAGTCTCAGAATAAAATACTGTAGCCCAAGGTATCAAGCATTTGATACGCTCAAGTCAATAATACCCCAAGATGGTTTCCAAATTAATTTAACATTTCCAGCTACCTTCCCACAATCCCTCCAATTTAGTCTTTTCTAAAAATCATCTAGAGACAGGATTGTCTCAGCACAACATTCAACTGAGAAGTAAAGCACTATGGCTGTGACCACACTAGGAACATTTCCCATTGCTGAAAAGGCAGTAGCAATGAAATTTTTTAGTTGCCAAAATCATATCAGGGAACTAAACAATGCTGTAGTTCCAGAAAGTGTGGCTAGAAGCACACATTCTCAACAATGACAGACTTCCCAACTGTAGACTTAAAAGCCAGAATCAAATCTTGGGCAATTATTTCACTGTATATGAAGTTGCAACAAGGATTTCTGATATATGTTAAAATTTCAGTGAAACAGTGTGGAAGGGGAAAGACTTGTTACAGTTAAGGGAAAAAACTTTTTTTCTTTAAACTGGCACTTTAAAGAAAAGGGCTTTAAAAACTTAAAATGGGTTTTACTCCAAAAAGTCTTATAAAAACAAAAGCTGACAAAAAAAGACAAGTATCAGTCACTGTAAGTCACTAGTTACAATACATACATTCCACCTAACCACTAAAAGCTGCCCAGTTAGATGCCTTCCTTATTTTTAAAAGGATTACTGTGGCAGACAAATACTCTACTAGATTTTTACATTGCTACTATCTCAATAGGTTAAAACACTTGAGTAAATGGAAGAAATGGTGGATTCAACTGAAAAAGTTTATTTTATGCACTGAGCCACCCATTTCCCTTGTAGTGGGAACACAGCACAGTATACTGTAGACAGATTTATTTCACCTACTGGCCCGTTCCTAGGGTATCCCACCAGCATGGGAAGTGAGGCTCTTCAGCGCAACAGGCAAGCATAATGGCAGAAGAGAACATGTACAGCAATGCCACCTACAGAAGATGGGTATTTCTGAAGTTGTACAAACACTTCAAGGGTATCCTTTCAGAATAGCAAGGCAGCTCTCATGTAGTTTAGCGAAGATGTCATCAGAAAAGCAAACAATTTTTTTGTACCATTTCATCTAGTATATGCACATAAAAAAATAAGCATACTATACAAAGAACTGAAGCAATATAATTTAAACATGCCATCAAGCTATAAACCATATATACATAGAAATATGCCTATACAAACAGAACAAGTCCACATTATTACAAGATAATTCTGAAGTTTTTTGAGGAAATCATGACAGATAAAGAAAAAAAAATTTGGCCAAAGGAGCTGGATGTTGCTTCTAAAAGTAATCTGTTCAGAAATTTCATGCAACACCACCATCTTTCTTTAGCAGACATTTATTAAAGTTTCGGCTATACATAGGTCTTCCCACAATTTCTGGACTCCTTTCCTGTACAGAGGTAGATTTCTGTAGATGTTCTGATATTGCACCACATAAGTATAATGTTTTTATTACAACAAGGAACAATTTACAAAGGCTAATTTATGGGTATAATCTCATTGTGTGCAATCCGGTAGCACAGTAATCAAATTCATTTGCACTTGAAAGAAAACATCCCTCAAAGTGAAATGTTTTGTTATTTAGGTGGAGGTCCAATTGAAAGCTGCAATCCTATTAATAGCTTCACATTAAGAGAACTCTCTCTTGTCATCAAGGTAACATACTTAAGTCTGTCTCTCTCCTTTTGAGCCTCTGTTGTTTAGCCAATGCAGGAACTTGCATTGACTTCACCAATTCCTTTATCCCATCCACTGTGTTCAAGTTAAATGTGGATTTCAAATATACACAGGTTTTTGCAGTAGTACATCTTACTCATACAAGCGGTTGTAATATTAAGAAATTTACAAGAAGATTCATTCAAACACTGCCTGAAATTATTAATAAAAGCCCATCCACACCTTCAGACTGGAAAAGGAAAGCTGAAACTTTGCTAGCTTCAAACAGCCATTAATTATGAACAAATTTGATGCTACTAGGAAAATCTGAAGAAGTTTGGCAGTAGTTAATTTGGGGGTTTTTTTGTCCATCACATTCTTGTATAACCCTCTGACAACTCGTGAAGTTGCAGAAAAGCTTGCATGCAAATACCACTTCAAGATGTCTGCTAAATGAAACCTCTATCACATACTTAAAAAATAAATGCACCAAAATTCATGATGCCAGTGTATGATAACTTTGATGAGCTCACAAGTGGAGAAATGAGCTCACTTCATGGAGAAGTGCTCTATGAAGTTATTTTTTTTTTTTTTTTTTTTTTTTTTACAAA